GAGAGAGAGAGAGAGAGAGAGAGAGAGAGAGAGAGAGAGAGAGAGAGAGAGCAATAGAAAACAAAAAGTTCTTTAGAAATGTATTTTCTATATATATAATATATCCCAAGTTAAGTTAACAACTGAAATATTTCAGCTGCATTGAAAGCCATATCAAATATATTTTATTCATTGTAAACGACTTTCAGAATATTTTATTGCATTTGATTTCTATGGAGAGAAATGGCTGCTGATTAACATATAAAATCGTTTTCAGCAACCAGAAAGCTGCATTCAGCTGGAATGGCAAAGGGATGGGATAATATATTTGCCAGCATTGACAACTCTGCGCCACAATAAATTGCAACTCTGTAAACGTTGCATTCTGCAACGCTGCGGCTTATGAATTGCATTACAAATTCGCATAAATTCTGCGCCAAAGTATGCGCAACAAATCGTTTGTGTGGCACGCGGCATTTATCATCTCAAAAATGGCCAAAGGAGAAGAAGACGCATCCATTGCAGAAATTCAATCTAGAGCCAACCGCGAGAATTATGAGCGGTTCATTCGGATTCGCGGAGAGAGAGATAGAGAGAGAGAGAGGGGTTAGAGGATTTGCTGCTGCAGCTTTGACGCGCTTTGTGGATTGACTTTTAAATGGACCCGAGCTGCATTGTGCCGTTCATTGGCTAGGCGAATATTGGATTTATGATGGCCACTTAAAATGCTTTATGGAAATAGCTTACTTTGGGGACTACAGAAGACTCTGTGGAATAATGCTGACAATTATTGCAATACAATCGTCAAGTTAGATCTAAAATATTTCATGTAGATTTGATTGATTGATATATAAAAATATTTTGCATGACATTTTATTAAACAAAAATATTTTAAATATTTTAATAACAATACAAACAAATATTCTTTTAAGTTTTTAATATATGTATATGTACATATAAAATATATATAAAAGAACACCAATTAAATGCAAAATAAATAAGAAAAAATAAATAAATAAAATTACAGATAAATTTTGTAAAAATAATATAAATATAAATAAATTAATAATATTGACATAAATAAACAAATATAAATATGAAATACTTAAAATGGTTTTAAAAAATAAATTTCAAAAATGTAAAAAATAAATATTAAATTTGATAAAAAAAAATATAAAAATATGTATATGTTTTTTCAAATATAATAAAATATTCATATATATGTATGACTTTATTCTTTGATTTCGTAAATTAATAATTAAAAGTAAGTTCGCATAGTTGATTTATCAAAAGTATATCCCCGAGTCAACAACATATCTAAATCGGCTTTCAGCAGGTTTTGTGCCCTCGTATATTTAGTTCAGTTTCTCAGTTGATTATCGCTTGATTTATACAAGTTAATTAACACGTTCGTTGGCCAAAGAGCCAATGGTGAATGGAGCATCCGGGGCATTGGGGAAGAGAGACATATTGTCGGATGGCTCTACCTATGTCAACAGGCAGACAAAAAGCACAATTAAACCCTTTGAAAGGGCGCAGACAAGGCAGCAAATACAAACAATGCCAAATGCCAAAGGGTTGGCGTTGAAAGGCCTGCGAAGGTCAAGCCCAGCCCCGGCGCGCGGTGGTCTGGGTTAGGGGGGTCAGACTGAGAGGGCCTTGGGGCCAAGCGTAGATTTATTGGATATTGTCGCATAAAGTCACATGGATTTCGCACAACATTTTATCGCCAGACGCTGAAGATAAACGCCATGAACAATTGCCTGGCAGCCGGCTAGAAATTGCCGGCAATAAAGTTGCAGCCGTTGGGGAGAGGTGAGAGGTGAGAGCAGCGCTTGGCAAACATATTTAGACTTTTCTTAAGTAAATTATTGCAAAAATCGACAGAGCCAACGACGGAAGCTCAAATGGGCGCAAAAATGTCATTAAAAGGCAGCCAGAGACAGAGACAGAGACAGAGCGAGAGTCAGAGCGAGTGAGCAGGAATGAGCGCGTCCTCAGCTTGGAGAGCGGGCAAGTTGTTGTTTCCGTTTCCGTCATGTTGAGGTCCTTTTGAAATGTTGACGACAGCCACGACAGCAACACCAACAACACCAATAGCACCAGCAACAACAACAACCCCAACATTTTCCTGCCAATGCAAACTCATCCTGCGCCAGTCGCCTTCATCTCATTTGTGATTTGTGGAGCTGCAGCTGCAAATATTTGCTTAGTCCTTTCTGCAGCCAGGACGAACTCTCAGGTTACTATTTGTATGTTTATTTTCATTGGACTTTTATATATTTGTGCATGCTGCCTTAGCCATTTAAGCTCAGCGATAATCGGTGGTGACTTTAGCCCTTAATGTGCTTAAAATATTTTCGCTCAAATAACGTACCTAATCGATTTTATGGAAAGCAAATTATAAACTTAAGAGACAGAAATCGATCAGTGATTGATGAGGGAACGACAAACTCTAATAATACTCATGATAAGCTTCAACCCTTTTATATATGCTGAAGCTTATATGGGCTTCGAGATGGAAGGAAAATGGAATTTGAGCGAATAATCTAGTCAATACAGTAATAGATATTTTTACGTCAAATCATATACATATCATATAGTTTAGGAATTCGTTATACATTTGTTATGCGTTTGCAAGAATTCGGAACGTATCGACTCAGGCGCGACAAAATTCGAGTTTTATAATTGACAATTTTCGCTAGAGGCAAATTTTGATTATTTTCGACAAAATGCTGCCAATTTGGCTAATGCTGTTGCTCTCTCCCTCGCTCGTGCGGGCCGTGCAGCAGCAGAAGCCGCCTGCCGCTGACGATGCGCCATCAGCCACCACAGCAGCCACGCCCCTGCCAGCCAGGGCGAGCGTGCTGCAGATCACAGCGGCGAACTTTGAGAGCGCCCTTGCCACGCACGAGCTGCTCTTCATCAATTTCTATGCCGACTGGTGCCACTTCAGCGCTCGCCTGACGCCGATCTTCGAGACGGCGGCCGCGCGGCTGGCGGAGCTGCTGCCGGAGGCGGCGAGCGTGCGCTTGGCTCGAGTGGACTGCGTGCGCGAGGAGGAGCTGAGCGAGAAGTGCAGCATCACGAAATTCCCGACGTTGCGCCTCTACTATCGCGGCCATCCGTTGCGGCAGGAGTACCGCGGGCAGCGTTCCGTGGAGGCTTTGGTCGCCTACGTGGAGAAACAGTACAGATCTTCGATCAAGACATTCAACACTGCCGAGGAGCTGGACGCAATCAATAGGAAGAGGCGTTCGGTGATTGGATTCTTCGAGAGTCGCCAGCAGCCAGACGCAAACCATTTTGAGCTGCTGGCGGAGCGCTATAAGAACGATTGTGACTTCTACATACGAGTGGGAGCTAAGCTGGACAACGTCGCGTATACGCAACGCATGCCCACAGTTGTCTATCGGCCGGACAGCGAGCGCACCCATGCGGCGGACACGTTGTTCGATGGGAGCTGGACATCCCCCACCGAGCTGGAGGAGTGGCTCGTGAAGAAGTGTGTGCCGCTGGTGCGTGAGGTGGACTTCCACAATGTGGAGGAGATAATCGAGCAGCGACTGCCGCTCCTAGTCCTCTTCCATCTGCCCGACGACGTGCTGTCCGTGAAGGCTTACAAGGCGATTGTGGAGATGCAATTGTCGAACTGCACCGACTGCGGACACTTCAACTTTGTGACCGTCGACGGGCTCAAGTTTCAGCACTCGATAATCCACATGGGCCGCACCCTCCAGGATATGCCCATAATTGCCATCGACTCGCTCAGGTTTATGTATCCGTATGACAGGTTCGACGACATGTACATACCGGGCCATCTGAAGGCGTTCATTCGCAACTTTAGCAACCATCAAAGGCTGCACCACAAGGCCAACGAGCAGGACGGCGATGGTGGCGTGCCGCCCTTGTCCACCTTCAAGCAGCTGGGACCCTCGAAGCATCGCTACACTCTGGTCGGCCATGATGAGCTGTGAGCTGTGAGCTATGAGCTATAGCTGCCTGAATGCCCATATTGTTGTTGTTGTTAATAAAGTACATTTTGTTGCTGGGCAACTTAATCAGTTAGCAAGTCTGTTGGGGGCTCGAGCCTTGTTATTGGGTACACTAGTCAGCATGAAATTTGGTTTGATATGGGGCATTGATGTAAGTATTTCGGTTTTTGTTTTGTTTTATGTGTTCCATGTGCATACTTATTTACTAAAAACCAAGTACATTAATGTTCATATATTTTATATATTTCTCTGATTGTTTATATACTTAATAACTTCTTTTTTTGTATTTATTTTTTTGATCTAATATTCTATAATATATTTGTGTTTAAGTTAAATTTAATTATTTATTTAATCTAATGTTTAAAAAATAAATTTAAAAAAATGTATTCTACATTTTATATTTCTTTCTAATATTTATGCCTAAGTTAACTTTAACTTATTTACTCTAATGTTTAACAAATAAATTTAAGTTATTTATTCCACATTTCTCTTTCTTTTCATTCTTCCGATCTGCCCTCAATTCAATCGCTCTCAACTAAATATTTTAATATTTTTTTTGTAGTTCAGTGTAAGCCAGCAGAGGGATTGAAATCGTCTTCCTACATTTTGTAGCATCTTAAAAATGTTCGTTTCGCGTTGGGCCGTTGCAGGTTTTTTAGTTGCCTGTTGTCTGGGAGCATGGTAAAAACAAATTGCCTGCAACTAAACATAATGGTTAAACAGACACCTGCTCAAGGCGCACTCGGGGAAAATCACTTGAGAGCTGCGGTGCCAGAGCCTTATCGTGCATGGCACACACAGCAGAGCAGAGCAGAGTGCTGAAGGAGTCGAGCCGAGGCAGGAGCTGGGCTAAGCCATTTGCTTGCAACTTCACATTCGTGGCCTCCACATCCAACTCTCAACATAATTTGCTGTGGTTTTGCATTTACTTTGCATCTCAAGCATGCTTGAGGCTTTCGCCTGCTGCACCCGGCAGCATTAGCTCGGGTTGCCACTTGCCAGCTAACCAGCTATGCCAGCTTCCTGCTTCACTGAGCTCCAAGGCTTCCAGGGCTTGTCTTCTGCCTGGCACTTCCGTTTCCGGCTGCCGATCTGCCCTCCCTGCCCTCCACAAACGTAGCCGTGCCGCCCGTCTGTTGGTTTTAGTTTTATGCGCTGCATTTGCGCCCTGTTTGCAATCACTCCAGCGCCTTGGTCGTCCTTGCGGTAACTCAGACCCAAAGCTGCAGTTGAGCAGATGAGAAACAGAAGCTGCATCAGCAGTTGCAGCTGCAATCCGTGTTGCCGTGCAGTTTCTCTTCTTTTTTTTTTTGTGGCTGAGCTGCATTGAGTGTTGCCTGTTTTTTTAAGCTGTTTGGCATCTGCACTAACATATGCGCATATCTAATTTGCAATTGTTTTTCGTGGTTACAGATTTGCATGCTTTAAGTGCACTGCGCGCAAAGTCCGGAAGTGGATCATAATTATTTGAGTGGAATTACAAAGTGTTAAGCATGGCATGCAAAGAGCGAGAGAGAGAGAGAGAGAGAGAGAGAGAAAGAGAGAGAGAGAGAGAGAAAGAGAGAGAGAGAGAGTGAGAAACCGAGAGAGCGAGGGAGCGAGGGAGAGAGAGAGAGAGAAAGAGAGAGAGAGCGAGGGACAGATACAGACAGATAGAAGAGATGGGGGAACTTGTATAAAAACATAAACAATTAGGAATTGATAAAATAATTTTTAATACTACAAGGTACTTTAATTAATATATTAAAATAAAGCTCATATACAATACATTTTAATTTCTCTCAGTGTATATGAAGCATGCAAAATTGTCTACCCACTCACACACACACACACCCATTGCTAGCCTCTGTTTGTGCCTTTCCACTCTACTCAAGGCACGCGCTATTTGTACAGCAAATTTGAGCTCATTAACACGCAACGAAAACAAACAGAAACCAAAGAAACGAGCCAGGAAAAGTTGCTGCTGGATGCAGTTCCTCAGCTGCCTTTGGCGCTGACTTTTGAGCCAAGTGCAAAACTATTTTGCTTGTTTCTTAATTTAATTAGCACTCAATTTGTATGTGCGTTTCATTTGCCTGTGAGTGGGTGTGTGTGTGTGTGTGTATCTGAAATGGGTAAACAATTTTCAAACTCTTGAGCTCAACTCATTTTTGCTGCTACAACTTTTGTGTTGCTCCTTTTTAATTAAACGCATTAAATTATTTGCATTGCCAGCAAGATGAATGAAGCTTTTATTACATTAAGCAAGTAGTTGATGCAGAGATAACAGAGAAAGCAAGTATTTTCATTACCTAAAGTATTAATATTTTCAAAACCGACAATGAATAAAAGACGTTATTTAAATTAAAAATTAATAAACATTAGAAAGGTAGTATGAAAAAGCTAAAAATTTATTGTTATTTCTAAAATTAACTAAATATATTTATCTAATTATTTGATTTTATTATATTATTTATTTATTGCATATATTTTGCGTTCAATTCACTGTACATACATATATACATATGTACCTATGTATGTCTAACTGTCTTTTGCTCACTCAATGAGAAAGCTTAGAGAGCAGCTGCAGCTGCAGTCATGCCTGCATCGGTTCTCTCACGAGTTCGTTCGCGATTCGCGATCGGCTAGAAATCGTTTTCGTTTCGCTCTGGTTGTTCTTCGACCGCAGCAAAAGTCTTTTGTGTATGTATTGGTATGTGAGCGATTGTTGAGTGGGAACTTGAGGCGCTTAGCAGAAAACAGAAACGAAACGAAACACATAAAACGAAGTCGGCCGCATAACGAGAGTGAGCGAGATCGAATGAGTACGATCTTTTTCGGTTGCTTAGGCGAACAGGGCGTGAAGCATAAAACGGTCAGCTGTTATCTGCAAGCTATGGCTGTTTGTTTGTTTGCTTAGAAGTTAGAGTTGATATCAAATTTTAAGTAAAGCACGTTTTACTGGCCTTAATGGTTGTTTGTTAAGTCGAATGAAGTAAATAAAGTTAGAGTAATTACAATTGCAGCTCTTCAAATCATGTTGTAAAATAATAATATATTATGGGAAATCATTTGAGTATATGTATGTATGTATGTACATATACACATACACTCATATAAACATACATATGTATGTACATCCAGAGTAAGCTTATTTTATTAATATGTCGTAGCTAAATATTCATTTTCATTAATTCGGCGTACTTCATTAATTATTGTGCTGTCCCTATCTCTGTGTGTGTGTGTGTGAAGTCAATGCCCTTGACAGCCTAGTGATGCCACGACTCCTCGTAGATTTATTAAGGCTTCTCGCATGCATTTAGCATTTAGATTGAAATCGGGGGCCAAGCTGCATGATTGATTGTCCTATACCCACATCGCCACCGCATGTCCTTCGGCAACTCCCCAAGGGCGCTGCGCCCTCGGGGGCCTGGCGTGACACGTGAGTCTGTTTGCTCAGGTGTTGGCTGGCTTTTTAATTCTAATTGGTCAACGTTGGCAATTTCGCCAAATGAATTTTGCATTACGCTGACGAAAATACACAGAGGACACGGTAAATGAAGACAAAGCAAACGAAACGTTTTCATTTGATTGCATTCATGACTTTCAATTTGTGAAGCACAAGATATTGCCGACATTTTTTTTCTTACCTGGCCTTTAACACGGAAATTCAGAGAATATATATCTCAGTTTAATTTAGTCCTTTCATATGTGACTGGAAATACTCTAGCTTGTTCAGTCTGAGCCGCTTTTAGCCTTTTTAGCTAGCTGAAAAGCGAGTTTTTAATTTCCATCTAGCCAAGGGCAACTTTTTTCCGTCTTTTTCGCAAGGTTCGATAAATGCCATAAATTGCCCAACATGACTTATGCTATCTGTGTAGGCAGGGGGCGAACACGCCCTCTTCGGCAATGTCAACACATTTTTTATGGGCAATTCTGCAGAGTTTGAGCCGTAACTCCAAATCTAGCCAAAGAGCACAAAGTGAGCCAAGCAGATGAAACAAGCAAAAAATATATGACAAAGGTAGAAAACATATAAAAGACTATGAAATACCCAGTAAAATAATGTGTAGTGAACAAAAATATATTGCCAAAGTCTTCCTCTACTCCATATGTATATTATTATTTTTAGATCCAATATGACGCGCAGATGTCTAAGCAAATCATGACAAATAAGACAGACAATTAAACTGATTTATAAGCTCTCTTTTATCTTATCTTAAATGAAAGCAATTTGTTAATAATTTGTCTTATGTCAGTAGATGATATTTATTAGTTTTGGTCTTTCTCTTAATTAAAAACCTGTATCTTGGGGAATAATCTGTTGCAAAAAATAAAGAAAGTCAGGCAAACACCACATTTTGGTTTGTGGTGATATCCGTGAGGCAAGTCTTCCCTAAAGATGACCTAATTATTCAAATTATATGTAAATCAAAATAGCAAATGATATAACTACGGCTTTCGATTTCTGTTTTATTTGTGTGAGTGTGTGTGTGATTAAAAAAAAAATTTATTTTGGGAACAAATGATAAATAAACAATAATAGCTTGAGTTTAGTCATTTACTAGAAATACAAATTAAAAAAAAAAAAAACAAAAATAATAATAGTCTTAATATTCCCTTTGAATAGAACATGGATTAAGAAAAACCAATCTAAAATATATTGCTTCATACATTTTTAGGCAGGAATATATTAATAGAGAAAGACAACATTTTTTCAAAAGAATTTTTCTTTAGTTTTTAAGGAATAAAAAACTTTTTTTATATTAATAATATGTCTACATCTGTCTGCACATAAGCCTAATCCTGTAACAGAAATTCTATTCACCCTTAGTTCCAGTGCAATCAATTGTAATGGACGAACGAACGCAGAAAATACTATAAAACAAAGGCCAGTCGATGGAGCCGAACGAAAATAAACTATAATTGTGTTATTATACCAAACAACGTTCATTGACTTTTGTGGAGCTGGCAGAGTTGTAAAGTTGGCACAGTTCTTGAATGCGGCAGACCGCATTTGAGCTGTGCTGCGTGGAGTGCGGTCCTTGACGGCATCCTTCAATGGGCCAGTTGCAGCCAAATCAATA